TTAATAATTATTTATTTTAATTAGTATATTTGGCTAATTCAGCCAAAATGTTGTTGAGAGGAGTATAAAATCAGGCACTCAACCATGCAATACAGTACTGCAAAGATCACTGACCTTCACATTAATAGGGTGCGTCCCTGGGGAGGGCTGGCAATATTTGGCCTGGGGGCTACACAATCTAGTTGCCTTTATTGGCAATTTAAACTTGCAGATGTCTGTGTGGGTGGTCCTACACACTGTTCAAATGATGGATATGGATTGACAAATGGAAGCTGTAGAGCAGGGGTGCCCAAAAGGTAGATTCTCCAAATGTTGTAGAACTACAACTCCCATGATTCTTTGCATGCCTTTCGAATGACAAAAGCATCATGGAAGTTGTAATTTTAAAACATCTGGGGTTCTATCTTTTGGGCAAGGTGTGGTACATCGTCTATCCCAGCAACATCCATTAGTGTCAGGGTTTTTCACGAAAGTGAGAATTCAAAGGGAATTTCAAATTTAAGGTCAAAATAGCCAGACTGGAAAAATTCTTTAAGGCAGCTAAATTTTGGAATTCACTGTGAATTCTGACTTTAGCGAATAAACCTGTATGACTTTGCAGCCTAAACGAACATTCACAGAAATGTATTAAATAAGAATGTTCAACTCTGATTCCTGTGACTCTATTGACCCCAATGCTTCCTCTGATCATATAGTTACCTGCAAACACCCCCCATCATACTTAGTCAGCATAGTCTGATGGCTCTGACAGCCAGAGATACTGTTGTCTTCTTAGATACATCCCAGTGGGCCAGTCGAGTTCTGGAGAGCACTGAGGATATCGATCACCAGCCAGAGCACACGCACAAAGTCCTTGACTAGCAAAGTCCCTGTACAATTCCTGTCTGCCACCGCCTTCCTGCAGGGTTCTGCTAACAGGTTTCCCATTGCACCTCTTGCTGCTTCTAATCAGCAGAAGAAGGGTGCAATTAACCTGCAGCCTACAAACCATGGATGTGAGTAGCTCAGGGGCAATAGTCCCCTGCATAACTTGCCAGCTATCCCATGGTACCTCCCTTATAACACATAATAACTTACAGCCCTGCTAGTGCTGCTCAGATGCTGTTATTATAAAGTGAAACCACCTTGGACAGGTTGAGCTATTGAATGTATAAATGTAGTGCAGCCATAATCAAACTCTCCGTGATATGACATATAATGTATTAGCTTGGGGAGGGAAATCCGATATTGTTGTGGATAACCATTTATGTGTAAACTAAACTTGGAAAATGTAATATATCAACACTAGAGTTGAGCGGACACCTGGATGTTCGGGTCCTGCAGGTTCGACCGATCTTTAAAAAAAAAAAGTTAATGGGGACCCGAACTTTTGGCTATAAAAATGCCTCTAAAAAACTCCTGGAAAGAGCTAGAGAACTGCAAAAGCAAGTAAAATGGGGATAAGAGTAGGACAAGTGCCCTGCAAACAAATGTGGATAGGGAAATCACTTAAAATAACAAAAAAATTAAAAATACAGCTGAGCCATAAAATAACACTAGATGGAATCTTTGATTTTAGCTTTGAAAGAACATAAATTCAAATCTAAAGCATGGCTGTCAGGAGGATCAACAGAATTATCCATTTGAGAGAGGGTTGGAGTGCAGGGTATTCTCTTTCATTGTTCAAACTGAGCTCAACTCCTGATGCATGGAGAAAAGGCCTTCACAAGCCTCTGCTATTGTGTACATAGTTTATACTAAGTGGCCCATAGGTTGAGGAGGCGGTGACCATGGCGGTGTAGGTGGAAGCATCCATGGAGGAGGAGGATGAGGTAACCAACACTGTTTTTTATGTTTTTGTTTTCTTTTTTTAATTGTGGTAGCCCACAAAATATTGGGACATAAAACAAAAGAAACATTTGCAGCCTGCGGTGCATTTCTTGCAGTCCTGATGCATGGAGAAATGCTCAACTCCTGATGCATGGAGAAAAGGCCTTCACAAGCCTCTGCTAATGTGTACCTAGTTTATACTAAGTGACCCATAAGTTGAGGAGGCGGTGACTGTGGCGGTGTAGGTGGATCAGCGGTGGAGGAGGAGGATGAGGTAGCCAACACTGTTATTTATGTTTTTTTTTATTGTGGTAGCCCACAAAATATTGGGACATACAACAAAATAAACATTTGCGGCCTGCGGTGCATTTCCTGCAGTCCTGATGCATGGAGAAATGCTCAACTCCTGATGCATGGAGAAAAGGCCTTCACAAGCCTCTGCTAATGTGTACCTAGTTTATACTAAGTGATCTATAGGTTGAGGAGGCGGTGACCATGGCGGTGGAGAAAGAGGATGAGGTAGCCAACACTGTTATTTATGGGTTGTGTTTTTTTTTTTTTTTTTTAATTTTTTTTTTTTGTTGTGCATGGTTTGACAGTAGGATATACGTTGCCACAACAGCAAACATAATCACATCAATAACATAGATGTACACATATGTGGCATAGAAATGAAAGCACATTTTTAAAGCATTTTTTAAACGTAGTAAGGCAATCTAGTGGTATATGTTATGCACGTATCAACAATAGTTAATTCGTCTTTTAAGCAGTGTCGTCAATTAAGCTTAGCTAGAAACAGGCTTGAACAGTGATAACCATGAATTTACACTACTATGCGTGGACACTTTATGCTGTAAGTGGTTTGGTTAGCAGGCATAGAAAACATAGGCTTGCAACATATTATAGGTACAGAAAGATTCTGGGCGCTAGCCGGCAATGACCATTTGCAGATTTGGGTTGCGGTAGGGTCACCCTGCTTCGGAAAGATATGCAAACTTAAAAGTAAAAAACGAAACAGCACAGGGTAACATTAGTTCAGGTATTTCAAATATATCTGAGGGGTGCTCGCTAGGTAAGACCTGGTCGACGGTGTCTGCAGGAGAAAGTCCCAGCGTGTAGGAATGTATAGCTCGCGTGTCGGTCTTCCGGCCTGCCCGCGCCCGGCGCTGAAGGGCTGGTGCATCCCCAGTGAGGCCTGTTCAGCCAATACCCCGCTTGTGCATGGGTGTTGCAGTGGATGAAGGTGTCCGGCTGGGAGCCGCTGTGAACGGCTTCGTGCAGGGTGTTACAGTCCCTTGAGTGAGTGATCTCTGGAGTGCTGTGGGTATAATGTGGGTGCTCCTTGGTCGATCCCGTCCCGACCGGCTGGTATAGTGGGGTTGGACATGCTCGGATCCCCCAGCCCGGGATGTAGCAGAGAGCACTTCCCTGTGTCCTCGGGTCCCTCTCCTACACGTGGGGGGACCGTGGGCCCTCCGGAGCCTCACTCTCCTGATGCCCCTTTGGGTGTGCGGACGGTGGGTCGGATTTTGGTCCGGTGTGCTCCCCTGCCCAGAAGGGGATTTGTAGCTCCGAGCCGTAAAGTGTGATCGCTGTCGGGCTTGTTGGGGCGGACGGGAGTGCTTGCCTTGCTGTGTCCGCTGTTCGTCTGCCATTTTGTGCCCTCCTCGTGGTCGCAGTGAGGGGTGAGTTACCCGATTACTCTCGGCTTGAGTGCATAGGCGCCGTGCCAGCCTGCGCCAGAATGCTGCGAAAATTTCGTTTAGCCTTGCTGTGTAGTCAGCTGGGTTAGTGAGGCTTGTTTTTGGCTCCTTTGTGCTCCCTCTGTGTTGCTTGGGCGCCATCTTCGCCTCAGTCTCAGGGGTATTCCGGAGCCGTTGCGTGTCCGGCTGTGGTGTGGGGTTAGTCGCCCCCAGCGAGGACCGGGATAACCCCCACCGGTCCAGAGGGGGGGGTTGCAGGGCCCTGTCGATTGTTCGCTTGCGAGCGTGCCCTGTGTCGGGGGATCGGCCGCCTCCCCCTACCTGCAGGTCCCGCTCCGGAGTAGGCCTCATGGCCGGTCCATGTATGTTTATGTGGTTCCGATATGGGTCGGGTATCATTGTGTGCCCCGTGTGGTCCTGGTTTGTTCTCTGGACTCCGTTTGCTGCCAGCACCGGTAGTTCCTGCAGAATTTGCGTTTTTGTGCCCTGTATTGCAAGAGCTCTCAGAAAGCACGACCGGCCATCTTGGCTGTCAGGCCCCGCCCCTATGGGTTGTTTTTTTATTGTGGTAGCCCACAAAATATTGGGACATACAACAAAAGAAACATTTGCGCCTGCGGTGCATTTCTTGCAGTCCTGATGCATGGAGAAATGCTCAACTCCTGATGCATGGAGAAAAGGCCTTCACAAGCCTCTGCTAATGTGTACCTAGTTTATACTAAGTGACCCATAGGTTGAGGAGGCGGTGACCGTGGCGGTGTAGGTGGAAGGGTGGAGGAGGAGGATGAGGTAGCCAACACTGTTATTTATGTTTTTTTTTATTGTGGTAGCCCACAAAATATTGGGACATACAACAAAGAAACATTTGCGGCCTGCGGTGCATTTCCTGCAGTCCTGATGCATGGAGAAATGCTCAACTCCTGATGCATGGAGAAAAGGCCTTCACAAGCCTCTGCTAATGTGTACCTAGCTTATACTAAGTGACCCATAGGTTGAGGAGGCGGTGACCGTGGCGGTGGAGGAAGAGGATGAGGTAGCCAACACTGTTATTTATGTTTTTTTTTTTTTTTTAATTGTGGTAGCCCACAAAATATTGGGACATACAGCAAAAGAAACATTTGCGGTCTGCGGTGCATTTCTTGCAGTCCTGATGCATGGAGAAATGCTCAACTCCTGATGCATGGAGAAAAGGCCTTCACAAGCCTCTGCTAATGTGTACCTAGTTTATACTAAGTGACCCATAGGTTGAGGAGGCAGTGACCGTGGTGGTGGAGGAAGAGGATGAGGTAGCCAACACTGTCAGCCCAAAAAATATTGGGACATACTTTGCGGCCTGCGGTGCATTTCTTGCAGTCCTGATGCATGGAGAAATGCTCAACTCCTGATGCATGGAGAAAAGGCCTTCACAAGCCTCTGCTAATGTGTACCTAGTTTATACTAAGTGACCCATAGGTTGAGGAGGTGGTGACCGTGGCGGTGGAGGAGGAGGATGAGGTAGCCAACATTGTTTTTATATATATATATATATATATATATATATATTTTAATTGGGGTAGCCCCCAAAATATTGGGACATATAAAGACAACTCTGTTCCGCAGAGTAGCTGTTGACATTATAGTTGCGCAGGAACTTTGTTGACTCTAGAGAACCTCGGGCAAATCGCACATCCCCGTGGCGGCGACTTTGCATGCGGATGTCATCCATATCAACTTTCGGTGACCACGGGTAACGGGGAATCAGGGTTCCATTCCGTTCCTTGGACCTTGATAAACGGCTACCATATGCAAGGAAGGCAGCAGGCGCGCAAATGACCCACTCCCGACGCGGGAAGGTAGTGACGACAAATAACAATACAATAACAATTTTAGAGGCCCTGTACTTGTAATGAGTCCACTTGAAATCCTTTAACTCTGATCAATTGGAGGGAAATCTGGTGCAGAGCCACTGACCCGTGCGTGCTGCAGCTGAAACTTCACTATTGCCTGCTGCTGCTCGCACAGTCTCATGAGGTGGTGAGCGGGAAGGCCAAAGTTACGCTGCAGCGCAGACAGGCGAGAAGCAGCAGGGTGACAACGCCAAAAGCACACACAGTCTACTGATGGCTTCTGGTATCAAGTACTCTTTTTACTGAAGCTGCATCAGGGTCCTGGTATGTGGCTGCACAAACGCTGGTGCTCAACACCAGGGGGTGTGCGGTTACCCTGCACCAGATCCTGCTAATCCATTCCACACTGTGACTCCTAACTTCAACATCAGGCATACTGGGTCCCAGTCGTCCGACCACTGCCCAGACAGTATCTGGGTCCTGGTCACCGGACTACCCACCTCACTGTGAAACTACGAATGGATCGTTAAATCTGGTACGAACCCGAGCTATGCAGTTCGGGTTCGCTCAAGTCTATTATGGATCCTTTGATTGCTACACGTATTACTTGGATAACTGGTGATTCTTGAGCTAATACATGCCGATGAGCGCTAGGGGACGGCCGCTCCGCTTTTGCAACCTGCTCCCTCTTATGCTGTGCTGGTGCCTTTGTGCGACTAGCGCCTCTTCCTCCAAACTGCACACGTCACTCGCATGACCTTGATGCTTCTATTTGACTCTCAGATATGAAGTGCACGCCCCAAAATGTACTATTTAGCAGATTAGCACCCAGAAAATAAGAATGTTTACCACTGCCCTGTAAGCGCACTATTAGACGCTTCTATTTGACTCTCTGATATGAAGTGCACGCCCCAAATTGTTCTATTTAGCAGATTAGCACCCAGAAAATAAGAATGTTTACCACTGCAATGTAAGCACACTATTAGATGCTTCTATTTGACTCTCAGATATGAAATGCACCCCACTAAAATACTATTAAGCAGTTTAGGACCCAAAAAAATGTAAGTTTTAAAACTGCAATGTGACAGCAGTATTTGACTCTCAGATATGAAGTGCACCCCACTAATGTACTTTTTAGCACCCAAAATATTTTAAGTTTTAAAACTGCAATGTGACAGCAGTATTTGACGATTCTATTTGACTCTCAGATATGAAGTGCACCCCACTAATGTACTACCCCACTATTTAGCACCAAAAAAGAAAATTTACTTTTAAAAACTCTGATGTAACTGCGGTATTTGAAGCTTCTATTTGACTCTGAGATATGAAGTGCACCCCACCCCACTAATGTACTAGTTTGCAGAATTATTTCCTAAGCTGTCCCTATCAGCAGCAGCATCCTCTCCCTACACTAATAAGACCACATGTGAGTGCGGCGCTACGCGTCTCTAGCTTATATATAGAGGCTGGGTCACATGCTGCACTGGCCAATCACAGCCATGCCATTAGTAGGCATGGCTGTGATGGCTTCTAAGGGCACACGAGTCAAACGCTTGTTGATTGGATGCCCTGCAGCCTTTGAAAACGCGCCATTAAATCGCCAAACACCGAACTCCAACCCGAACATACAGTGATATATCCGTGTTCGGGTCAGGGTTCCAAAAAACCTAATGTTCGGTAAAAACCCGAACTTTACAGTTCAGGTTCACTCAACTCTAATCAACACGGCATGTTCCATTTTATGTAATTTTTGGAGCTGGGAATGCAAACCTTTTGGGTTTGTGTCAGTAGTACCTGGCAGTGACACTATTTCCAACACTGCTCATTCTGCTGTGCTTTATAATAATTCTGGCCAATATCAATATTGCCATGCCGAATTTCAGCAGAATGTGTTCACTCCCATCTTCTGACACGGCCAAACTGACTCCAAATTCCAATTAAATTTACATTGTAGCTTGGAAAGACCGAGATTACATTTCTATATTGTTATTCTTGAGACCCCTTAGCTTGTTTTTATTTTTTTTAATTTTTTTTTGTAGTTCTGAAATTCAATCTATTTCCGACTATCCTGAACTTTTCTTATCCTGATTCTAGCTTTCGAGATTTTCATAAATTATATTATCCTACCTTTGACTGAATTATTGCCTTTAGACATCCCGTCGTTTCAACCCCTCTGTGGTCTTCTAATTCATCCCCCTGTATCTTTTTTACCTATTTCATATTTCCTGATTTGTTCTAACTTCTGCTTATGCCTTGTATAGGTCAATCCTAACATGACTACAAAACAGCAACTTTTCTAAATGATCTCTGTGATAGTAAGATGCCAGAAGGGTTGGAATTGATAATACAAAATGCTGCTGAGACATTTAGCAGATTCATCTTAGAGTACTAAACGCGTAGATATACTGAGATATCTATAACAGCATAAAGTCTATTTGATTAGGTTCCTCAGAACATCTGATTATACATTGTCTGTGTCCTCACATGACAATAAGGTACTTTTCCCATCTATGAGGGTTTGTTACTTTCTGTTGTAAGAAAATGCTAATTATAAAATTAGATGAATCTGCAAGAGTACACTTTAAACTCCATGACTGAATCTTTTAGCAAAGCACTAAGCTAGTCAGTTTAAGGTTTCTCCACGTTTCGTTGGCATCACATACCACCTAATGGATTGTCCATCACCTCGCCAAATTTTAAAGTCTGGCATCTAAATTCGTTGTACATATGAATGCAATTGGTAGGAAATTGGTGGAAACACTTGATAAAACCCTATGTGGTGAAACATGTTATGGATTTTTGAAAGCATGTTAATTAAAGTGGTTTTGGCTACTTTTATACTGTGATTGCACCATTTTCCTTTTTTTTTGCTTTTTTTTATTTTGCCTGGCATCCTGTTCATCACTCCAGAGATGATCTCACGAAAAAATCCCAGGTGGTGATTATACCACTCACACCTTATTCATTGAGCGGTGTGTTTGCTCAATTATATGTGAGTACATTTATTTTAATGTATTACTCCTGGCTTAGTGTACACAGTGAGGACTATTGTTGTAATTTGTGGGGGCTCACGGTCCCTATTAAAAGTTAAAACTGTGCTGCTGACTACACTACTACACGTATCGTATAAATGGGGATTATACCACTGTATACCCATCATACTAGAGCTAGTCTTAGCTCTATAAAACGTGAGTAGGTCCATATAAGACTTGCACTTTAAAAGCACCACAAAATATTGGAACATATTGCACTCCTGGATTTCTTTTTTGTTTTATTTTTTATATCTATATGGTTCCCAAGAAACTTTGGATCCAGTATCTATATAGAAAAGGGCAAAAAGTCACCTCTGTGGGATTTGGCTGCTATCTTTGCAAGTTTACACACTGACTTTTGACTTTTATATTTGCTACTTGTTGTTTGTTTATCTGTTTTAGTGTTTTAATATTTTAAACACATTTGTTCACATTTGGCGCCGCCTTTTCCTGTTTTGCTGTAGTAGGCTTATACTGCAATCTAGATAACTGCACGTAGCCCACTATCTTTGTTACACACACGTGGGAGGAGAGACCTTCCCGGAACATATCCTGGACAACAGCAACAGAGGTCCACGTAAGTAGTGACAAGGTGGTGTTGGTCTTCTAAGGATCCCTGCTTATTGGAACTTATGCTCCTTACACACATGGGCTGTTGTTTATTTTACAATTGACACCTAGATAATAAAAACTGTTACGGGAAACTCATACCTTAAACATACACGCAGGTAACCTTTAAACATACAAAAAGAATCTATCATCCATGGGCTGAAGATGCTTCAGTTTATGTAGTGCATACAATAGCCAGCCCCAGGGTCACTGCAAAAAGAATGCCGAGTGACAGTGGAGGCACATGACAAAATCACTCTGCAAATTCCAGGAAATAGACAAAAGGGAAGGATAATGCTAGAATTGCCCTTTATACACTTTTATTTTCTGCACTGATAACTTAATGTATATGTATAATTTGTAGTAATCTCTATCTATTTAAACATATATAATATGTAGATCGATAGGTAGATAGATAGATAGATAGATAGATAGGAATGCAGAAAGTTAACACCTGTTTTGTTTCTGATTCAGAAAATACACATATTCATTGGTTCTAAATTAGCTACATAGGGCACTGAAAGTAAATAATTAAAAAAATAATTGGTTTAGCAGTAATTAGTTAATTAGTTAATGCCACTATTCACTTCGGTCAAAAAATGGTAATGAAAAATGTTTGGAAGGTTATTTGAAACAAAAAAAGGGGGGTTATGACTGTGCTGACAAGCAGAAATGGCTACAATATTGCCTGGCCTAATGGCTACATATATCAGCTATGCAATGACAATTCTGAGTTAACAAAATTAGATTATTAGATATCTGGACACAGACATACACATACATGCCAACTCCTACAAAAACACACAAAGACACATGAGCACACACAGATTCATACACGCACACACATACATTCATATACATGCAGATACTCATATACACACACATACAGTCACATACACACAGAGATTCATACATATACACACACAGACTTATATACACACAGACATTCGTATACACACTCATAATTACAGCTATACAAACAAATATAACAGACTCCCTTTTCTTACCTTGACAGGGAGAGCTAGAATGGAACCTCATCCCAGGGGTCTAGTGAGGAGATGCTGAGATCGGTCTCTAGGGAGCTGGAAAATCAGTGCAGAGTGATCCCAGCGCTCTCTCTGTGCCTGCACCTTAAGTATAGCTACGGGTGTGGGGTGTGGGGGGGGGCACACTCTGGTGGATGGGTACCCTTTGCCCCCTGCAACTTGTCACCACCACCCTGCTTCAGTCCCCTTAGTATGCCACTGGAGAGAACTTAATTGTGTAATGATTGATTATAATCTTGTTTGTTCCTTTTTTAAATCCAAAAGGAAAAGGAAAAAGTCAGAGGGCAGTTGAGCACCCACTCTCCCCTTCCACCCTGACAACAACAGCAGAGCTTTGCCACACATCCAGCCTGTAGTGTCAGTGACTAACCTCAAGGTTCTTTTTTTTACTTTGTGCCTTAGTAGCAGCAGGAGTAGGAGCCATTGTCTTGGAAAAAAGGGGAGTTTTCAAAAAAGAAATGCCCACTTTCGTTTTCATTTTGACTTATAAATTATCCAAATGTTTCATATGGAATTACTCCTGCTACTCCTGCTAGTGCTCCCCTTTATTTAAATGACTTTTATTGTCGTGGTTTCACCCTACCTTGCTACCGCCACACACAGTTGGGAGAAACTGATGATATGTTTTTTTTACCCACCCTGGAAGACGGTCAATAACACTATTAACCGGATGTGTGGGAGAGCATTGTTCTTCTCAGAGTAGAAAGGGTCATCAATAGTGATGTCCCGAACGGTTCGCTGGCGAATAGTTCCCGGCGAACATAGCGTGTTCGCGTTCGCCACGGACGCCGAACATATGCGATGTTCGGTCCGCCCCCTATTAATTTACTAATACTAAGTAAAAATTACTTAGTATTAGTAAATTGTGCCCCTACTCGCAATACCGTGAGTAGGGGCATGTCTATTAAACAGTGAGCAGCCTGTGGCTGCTCACTGTTAAAAAAAAAAGGGTCCCCACCCCGGTGGGGGCCCTAAATACTAATAGGGGGGGACCTATTGTCCTCCCCCCGTCCCCCACCCCTGAGTGGTGGGTGGGGGCCCTAAAAATAACAATAAGGGGGGGACCTATTGTCCTCCCCCCAGCCCCCACCCCTGAGCGGTGGGTGGGGGCCCTAAAATTAACAATAAGGGGGGGACCTACTGTCCCCCCCGGCCCCCACCCCTGAGCGGTGGGTGGGGGCCCTAAAATTAACAATTAGGGGGGGGACCTACTGTCCACCTCCGGCCCCCACCCCTGAGCGGTGGGTGGGAGCCCTAAAATTAACAATAAGGGGGGGACCCACTGTCCCCCCCCGGCCCCCACCCCTGAGTGGTGGGTGGGGGCCCTAAAATTAACAATAAGGGCCCACCCCTGAGCGGTGGGTGGGGGCCCTAAAATTAACAATAAGGGGGGACCTATTGTCCCTCCCGGGCCCCACCCCTGAGCGGTGGGTGGGGGCCCTAAATACAAAGGGGGGGGACCCTAGTCACCCCTTCCCCCCCAAAAAAATATGAGCTCCCTACCTACCCCCCTCACCCTAAAAATAATGAGGGGGGGACCTTTAACTAAAAACCTATAAAAAAAAATTAGATACAAATAACTTATCATTTGATGTTTTCTTTCTTCTACAATCTTATTTTTTCAGCCCCAAAAACGGCCAAATAAAAAGCCATAAGAACCGACACAATTAAAAAAAAACAAACCAAAAAAAAAAGAGCGCACAAAAAAATAATCCATCTTCACCCATGGAGGGCTCCGCACAGACTGAGCTCTGCAGGGCGGGGGAAGGCTTATAAAGCCTTGCCACGCCCTGCAATTAGGCTAAGAACACTCTGATTGGCTGGTTTAAGCCAATCAGAGTGCTCTTTGTCATTTTACACAGCGTGGGAAAATTCAAAATAATTTTCCCACGCTGTGTAAAATGACACAGAGCACTGTGATTGGATGGCTTGAAATCCATCCAATCACAGTGCTCTGTGTCATTTTACACAGCATGGGAAAATTGATATAGATGTCTTCCTGTAGGCCTGTGAGCCTCTTGTCCAGTTCCGATGCCACATGGGATTTTATGTCCATGATGGCTTCTTTAAGCATGCTCTTCATGTGCTGTAAGGTGAGAGGGGCGTCTGGTGCTGTGGTGTGTTCATTTCCCTTGAAGTCTGAGCTTGTTTCCTCCATGCTTTGGCGGGAATATGACTGGCCTGGTTCTTGCTGAGGGCGGAACATCGTGGCGACCGATGGGGTTTGTTCTTTTTTCTATTTTCCGCCTCCCATCGTGGTGTTTTGTGCTGAGTGGGTAGTGTGTTGTTTCTCGAGTTTTCTGTGGTAGTTTTATTGCTCGTGTGTGCGGATGTTTGCAGATTGAATTTGCTGGGAAGTGGGAGCTATAGAATTAAGCTGCCATCTTCCTCAACGGTCAGGCCACGCCCCCCCAATTGTTTGCACTTTTAACACTGGCATATGACACTTTTTTATGTTTAACATATTTGCACTTTATAAGTAACTATCTTGAGCAGGCACTTTGTCACTTTATATTATCTTTTAAACTAAAGCAATGGTGGTCAACACATTGAACTATAGATTTCAATTATATATTTCAACATGCACTTTATCCTTATACAAGCACTTCATCCTCTTTCATTCACTCCCCCTATTCCTTAGAACGAGCCACAGATTGCACTGTATCATTATAACCGCAACCCTATTCCCATGGCGACAAAGTTTGTACCACGTCCTTATGGAAATGGACGCGATGACGTCATGACGTCACGGGGGCGGAGTTTCTTTGCACATGCGCACAGGGCAACACAGAACGCCGATCGGAAATGCACTTCACCTGGGGGTAAGCCAATTTGTTTACTGTATTTTGCTATATACGTCTGTCATTTTGATTGTGTTATTGTATTGATCCTGAGGAAAGTCCTGTTTGGTGGACTGAAACGTTGATCGTGATTTTTTTAATATGAATTAATAAAGAATAGAACTTTTAAAGTCTGTGAGTGCTGCTATCTCTTTTGGATACCTTGATATAAATATATATATATATATATATATATATATATTAATATCAAAATACAGTTAGAATAAAATTTCATATAGATATATAATTCTTTTTTAAATTTTTATTATTTTTATATTTTTTTATTTAATTTAATTTACTTATTATTTGTATTTTATAATAATATATATATATATATATATATAATATATATAGTTATTATATATATTATATATACATGGCCCCTGGGGTCCTAATTCGCCATGGGGAGACTGTTCGGGCTGCAGGCAGTCTCCCCACACCGGGAGCACCACCGATCGCAGCCGGGGAAACGACGGCGACCGGGTGAGTACATGTTACCGTTATGACGGTTCAGGACCGTAACCGGTCCTCAACGGTATGTTAGCGATGATGGTCCTGAATTGTCATCGGTCATCAAGGGGTTAAAACTGTATATTGGTAATTAGTTTCACACTAGGATAAATGACAAACTGCCTGCTTCCACTCAAAGTTTCCTATAGCAAAAACCTAACGTTAGTCTCACACTAGAAACGATTACCTAGGTTAGCTCACTCTGCAACACAGGCAGTGCAATGGTAAACACACAGAATCACTGCTGGTCTGTCTCCCACAATAGCTACGGTCAAAGTGTCTGGAAAAATCTTGTTTAAGAAAATAGTTGTTTTATTCCTCCTCCTTTTGTCCCTGTATCAATCAGTTGTCACTTGATCTATGAATAAAATCAACATGTGTATGTATGTGTGTATATATATATATATGATCTACATATCTAATACACATTTTCTCTAATGTTCTCATTTCTATTTTTCACTTTAACACTAACTTCTTTCATTACTAAAATATCCCTATCCTTTCGCTCACCTGTCCCTGGCAACACCATCGTCATTACTTCCACCTTACTCCCCTCTCTATTCATCCCATGCACTCTACACATACCTTTTCCACCTTATCTCCACCAACTCCTCCCAAATACTCTGTTTGCAATATTATTAAATCCACTGCTGTCCATGACTTCTTCATCTCTCGTTCAATAGATTTACTAGCCTTAACAGAAACCTGGCTCTCCCCCTCTGACACTGCCACCCCTGCATCTTTGTCCTTCGGTGGTCTCCAACTTACCCACAACCCAAGAAACTCTGAATGTAAAGGTGGTGGTGTTGGGTTTCTCCTCTCCCCTCACTGCTCTTTTAAACCTCTTCCCACCCCCCCTTCCCTCTCTTTCCCGTCATTTGAAATACACTCAATTCGCCTTTTCAAACCCTTCTCTGCTAACATTGCTGTTATTTACCGTCCCCCTGGTTCCCCTCTTCTCTTCCTTGACCACTTTGCTGCCTGGCTACCCTATTTCCTCTCTTCTAACATTCCATCCCTAATTCTCTGGGACTTCAATATTCCTATTAACCCACCTTTGACCTCTGCAGCCTCTAAACTACTTTCAATTACTTCCTCCCTCGGGCTATCACAGTGGGCTAATTCTCCCACCCATGTAGCTGACAATACCCTTGACCTAATCTTCACTTATGCATGTACAGTATGTAATATCTGCAACACTCCATTTCCTCTCTCTGATCACCATCTCTTATCATTTGCTCTCGTGTACCCCCTCACCCAACAACCTCAGCCTAAACCCCCTCAACTCAGGAGGGACTTTAATTCTCTTGATCTCCAGCAGTTGTCAGCTGATATTGATTCACGACTGCTGTCCATCCCTTCCCTCTCCTGTCCTTCACTGGCCATCTCCGCATAAAACACTACCCTCACCTCTGCCTTGAACGCTGCAGCACCGCTCCAAACAAGTACCTTGAGGAGGACCCGCCCCCAACCATGGCATACTAAATCAAGACGCTACCTTCAAAGATGCTCCCGTTGTGCTGAACGCTCCTGGAGGAAGTCTAGCACCCAGTCAGACTTTCTCCATTATAGATTCATATTGTGTTCATACAGCGCAGCCCTTGCCCTTGCCAAACAGTCCTACTTTTCCTCTCTCATTAGTTCATGCTCCCACAACCCAAGGCTTCTCTTTGACACCTTTAATTCTCTACTTCGCCCTGCTGTGGCCACCCCCCAAACTAACCTTACTGCTGATAACTTTGCATATTACTTTACTGACAAGATTCAACAGCTAAGGAAAGAATTCTCCCCTCCTTGCCTTGTAACCCTCTCCTGATTGGTCTTCCCAAAAGCCGTACTGCACCGCTACAGTCCGTAATGAACGGTGCTGCCAGACTGATTTTCCTCTCTAGTCATTTCTCTCACACCTCACCCCTCTGCCAGTCCTTACATTCGCTTCCTGTATGCTATAGGAGTTTATTTAAAGTACTAATTCACACCTATCAAGCACTGAACAACTCTAGCCCCTCTTATATCTCCTCACAGATCCATAGGTATGTCCCTTCTCGGTCTCTCCGCTCTGCACGTGACCACCTCCTGTTCGTTGTCCGCACCTGTACGGCCAACTCACACTTGCTGGACTTCTCGCGGGCGGCTCCCTTCCTATGGAATAGCCTGCCTACCGCCATCAGACTCTCCCCTAGTCTTACATCTTTTAAGAAGTGCCTTAAAACCAATCTCTTTAGGAAAGCTTATGGCCTCCCAGAGTAACCTCTACCTCACATACCTGTCTCTTGCTCTCTCCTAAAGGGCACCCCACCTCCTATAGAATGTAAGCTCGATTGAGCAGGGTCCTCTTCAACCTATTGTTCCCGTAAGATTATTTGTAATTGTCCTATTTATAGTTAAATCCCCCTCTCATAATATTGTAAAGCGCTATGGAATCTGTCGGCACTATATAAATGGCAATAATAATAATAATAAATAATAACATTAAGTGGCTGTCCCCTAACCACCGTTTTTCTGGAGCCAGGAATGGTACTCCAAATCATGAATGAATCTTGAATGAAAATGAGCATGTTTGGGTCTGTGCAAGTCTGTTTCCCCAAAATTCTGGCACCTAACTGTTTGGAAATCAGAAATTGGAGGTGGTCCGAAATAAATCTCTAGTTGTAGTGCAGAATGTATGTAGTTTGTGTTCTCATCCTTTTAATGTGCCTATATGCAGTAACAGAAGTGAGCTATGAAAACTGGACTATGCAAGTAATGAGGAAATCAGATTATTCATTGTCTGCTAAAAGATTTGTTTACCTTTCATCCCTGGAAGATTTAGAAAACATTTTGTTTAAATAGTGCATGTTTAATTATCAGACTAAAATATGTCTCAAACAGGTAACCTAGCATTGATTATGTGTTTTCTATCACGCATTTGTCATTTACTAACAGCTAAAACCGAAGCAGCAAATCACGCCAAATAAATTTAGGGTTATTCTGTGTCTAAATTTGATTGAAATGCACTGTATTAAACAAAAAAATTTACCCTAAATATGATATGAGGATCTCCAGCACTCTTGTAATTTCAGGATATTACGGCAACTGCAGAACTCTCAGTTCTCCCATACAGTGCCCCAGGTGGAGGAGAAAAGGCTTAAACAAAATGGGTTTAAAACCTTTCTAGCCAGGAAGATATTTGAAAACTGTTTCGCCAGCTGTAACTTTGCAACACTCATCCCTCATTGCAGTCAATGCCCTCTGACAGTATTTTAATGTTTTTAAAACATATTGTAGTATACCTCTTCGTTTTACAATATAGAAAGTTTTTATTTTTTTGCAAAGGACCTGTTAGATGCACGTCCTGACTCATCTGTGAATAATTCGAAACATGCGGCATGCAACAATGCAGCAATGTTAGATGCACTTCCTGACTCATCTGTGAATAATTTGAAGCATAGGGCATGCAACAATGCAACAATGCAACAATGTTAGATGCACTTCCTGACTCATCTATGAGTAATTTGAAACACAGGGCATGCAATAATGCTACACAGAACCTATTTATTTATTTTTGGGGCGGTGGGGAAGGGGAGATTTGAGTTCTGAGAATAATATCACCTGCAATATAAATCAAGCCTTGCAAATGCATCCACCATCTCTGTTTTATAAATTACAGGAAGAAGAGGTGCTCCCCCAATTATAAAAGTACTAATAGAATATGTACACACATAGCAGGAACTTGCAAGACAAAGCTATCGAGAAATCTGACCAAGAAATTGAAATGAACAGACTACTCTATAATCCTTAAAATAAAATTGTCCTTATCAAGTGACTTTATTAAATCTTAATTCCTGCCATATTTATGATTGCAGATTCCTCCCAATATTTTCTGTCTTGTGTTTTCTCCAACGTAAAACAAACAATCAACGGTTTATAAATAATTGTCTTTTTTTCTATCAAATGTAACATTTTTCATCATAAGAATTTTCTTAAAATATATATATTATATTAGTTTGTTTTAGAACAGTTTATTTGAAATTATAGCGAATTTAACATCATCAGAACAAAAGTCAACAATGGTGAGTGAGCACATTTAAACCGTAAAGATCAAGTTGTGATGTGATTATACAATTCTCTACAACTCTTTTTAGCGAATAAACCCACTCAGGGGACAGCTATGACTAGATTTAAAAATTGCCATAAAATTATTATATTGGAAATTGAAAGATTTGATTACAAGTGGAAAGTTTACCCTCAAAATATATTTTCATATTTTGTATCACAATCTTGAAAAGTTTAGACAGACAAACAAATGACTACTATGGTCTAATTAACTCATGTTTTGAATTCATCAGTGTATTCTAGGCCAATTGCATAAATCCATTATTTAACGATCACAGGTTATATCAGGATACTTTTAAATATTTCACCATAGAAATCAATCACCAGTAAGAAACACTCATATTTCCTTTAGCGTGAGGCAATTTTAAACTTGGACAAATTCCTAAATCATAATACAGCTATGTTACATTAATCTTGTTAAAATGCCGGATATCCTTAATACCTAAAGAAGGTGCAGGGAGAGACAAAATGGCCCAAACAAGCCAGAATTAATATGCTTATTCAACATACAGTGGGTTTCGTTTGGTTGGACAATATCCAGCGAAAATGGCAACTTTCCAACTGGAAAGGCAAGTCTCATATTTACCAAATCTAATTGTGGTCAGAATTCTGCCTACCCAACTAGATATTCATTAATTGGCCGGATGCATTCGGTGCCTGATTTAAAATCAGTGCTTTTCGCATTCAAACCCTATACAAAGCAGAGGGTTAGCGATATTTACAAAGTGCTGATTTTAAACAAAATTGGATCTGAATGCATCTGATAGGATGCACATTTGCAAATTATTATTCACGGGCTTTTTGCAATCCAATGATTATTTAAAGTACTACTTGCCCGAGTTGCCAGTAGACAAATAGTTAAAGAAAATGTGAAAGGTAACCATGAGGTGGCTGGCCAATTACAATGTAAAAACAAAATCTTATCGATGTCAATATTACCCACTTGTAACTATACTAATTTCCCTTATTTTCCCTTAATTTAATTTCCCTTATGTCCTCACTTGTCTACTAAACATTTAAAACCCATGGCTGGGCAGCCGTTGCTGCCCAGTTGTTAGAAAGACCCATCCCCTACTTACCCTAATAATAGTGAAAGGCCTTATATCCGTACTCACCCTAATGATAGTGAGGGCAGCAATGAAACTAATATCTGTAAAATAAAACATACTTACCATCAGAATTATCCCATTAAAGGCCAAAGCAAAATTCATCATCATGCAAAGCAAATATTGAAAAAAGACCCCACCAGATTTGCACAAAACACGAAAAAAATTAAAACATGACAAAACAAAAATAGAACCATTTTCCCCCTGCAAGGGCCCAATGTGGAATATTCTCCAAGGCAGGAAAACAATCTTTTTAAAGGCTTTGCAGCATCTTACTTAGAAACATAGAAACATAGAATGTGACGGCAGAGAAGCCCATCTAGTCTGCCCAATTTTCTAAATACTTTCATTAGTCCCTAGCCTTATCTTATAGTTAGGATAGCCTTATGCCTATCCCAGCATGCTTAAACTCCTTTACTGTGTTAACCTCTACCACTTCAGCTGGAAGGCTATTCCATGCATCCACTACCCTCTCAGTAAAGTAATACTTCCTGATATTATTTTTAAACCTTTGTCCCTCTAATTTAAGACTATGTCCTCTTGTTGTGGTAGTTTTTCTTCTTTTAAATATAGTCTCCTCCTTTACTGTGTTGATTCCCTTTATATATTTAAATGTTTCTATCATATCCCCCCTGTCTCGTCTTTCCTCCAAGCTATACATGTTAAGATCCTTTAACCTTTCCTGGTAAGTTTTATCCCGCAATCCATGAACCAGTTTAGTAGCCCTTCTCTGAACCCTCTCTAAGGTATCAATATCCTTCTGAAGATACGGTCTCCAGTACTGTGTACAATACTCCAAGTGAGGTCTCACCAGTGTTCTGTACAATGGCATGAGCACTTCCCTCTTTCTACTGCTAATACCTCTCCCTATACAACCAAGCATTCTGCTAGCATTTCCTGCTGCTCTATTACATTGTCTGCCTACCTTTAAGTCATCAGAAATAATCACCCCTAAATCCCTTTCCTCAATGTTGAGGTTAGGACTCTATCAAATATTCTGTACTCTGTCCTTGGGTTTTTATGTCCAAGATGCATTATCTTGCACTTATCCACATTAAATGTCAGTTGCCACAATTCTGACCATTTTTCTAGTTTACCTAAATCATTTGCCATTTGGCTTATCCCTCCTGGAACACTGCAATATCACTAATAAAAATATTAAAGAGAATGGGTCCAAGTACAGATCCCTGAGGTACCCCACTGGTGACAAGTCCAAGCTTCGAATATATTCCATTAACTACAACCCTCAGTTGCCTGTCACTAAGCCACTGCCTTACCCATTCAACAATATTGGAATCCAAACTTAAAGATTGCAGTTTATTGATAAGCCTTCTATGTGCAACAGTGTCAAAAGCCTTACTGAAATCTAGGTAAGCAATGTCTACTGCACCACCCTGATCTATAATTTTAGTTACCCAATCAAAAAAATCAATAAGATTAGTTTGGCATGATTCTTTGCCTAACCTGTACTTCTCTAGTGAGACTGGCCAAAATTGGCGTTCAAATTAGTTTTTTGCATATTTCACACACAAACAAATATTAACACTAACTTTGGCCAGTATTTGTGACCAAGTGGCTACTAAAAAAGACTGGACATACCCCATTTGAAATGCCTTGGGTTGTCTACTTTTGCAAATGGTATGCCATCATGGGGGTAATTCTCATTCCTGGGCTACCATACTGTCTCAAAGGCAACAACCAATCTGGCGAATTTCAATGTGAGAAAACAAAAAAATGTAACATGCTTTTTTTGACCCTGTAACTTCCCAAAACACCCTAAAACCTGTACATAGGGGGTACTGTTTTACACATGAGACATCGCTTAATACAAATATGTGTATTTTATTGCAGTAAAAGCAAGCAGTATTATGACACTCACATTTAAAATGAGCTGCAGTAGTGAGTGGTCTAGTGGTTAGGATTTGGTGCGCTCACCGCCGTGGCCCGGGTTCGATTCACGGTCAGGGAAAGTTAATCTTTATTGGGCAGACTAGGTGGGCCAAATGGTTCTTATCTGCCGTCACATTCTATATTTCTATGTCACGTAGAACTAAACATTTTTTTAACCCCTTCAGGACCGGACTGTTTTTGCTATGTTTGAGCTATTTTAACACTTTTGTGGTGTTTGTGTTTAGCTGTAATTTTCCGCTCTCTCATTTACTGTTCTGATACAAATTGTATATTGGGTTTTTTTCAGGACAAAAAGGGCTTTCTTTACATACTATTATTTTTATCATGTCATATAATTTGACTTTTAATTAAAAAATCTTTTACTGATCTACAAAATCGAATGAAACAAACTGTTAAATAGATTCAAAATTTTGTCCTGAGTTTAAAAACACCCAATGTTTGTGTTTGTTTGCTTTTATTTGCAAGTTATAGGGCTATAAGTACAAGTAGGAAATTGCTGTTTCAAAATGTAAATTTTTCAAAGATAACCCAGGGTATTCATCTAAGAATATTTTGATACTTTCTATGCAGCCATTTTACCACAAACCTTTGCCAAACTTTGCATAGGTAGTTTTTTATTTTTATTTTTTTCACATACATTGCAATTCAGGCATGAATTAACATATCCTGTTATGTGTCACTGCCAAACAACACCCCAATATGTGTTCAGCAACATCTCCCGAGTACAGGGATACCCCCCATGTATAGGTGTGTTGGGTTGTTTGGGGGCTAGAAGGCCACATTTTGCAGGTGCGCATATCAGTTTCCCAGCTTGGAATTTTGACATGTAGTCAACCTACATGCATGTCCTATTTGGGACATTTTTGAAGCCGGCCAATGTATTCTACCTCCATCAAACCATATATGTTTGAAAAGTAGACACCCTAGGGTATTTTACATGGTGGTATTTTAACACTTTCCATGCACTAATTCTACCACCAGGCTTTGTCAAACATTGAGGTAGTAATTTCTTTTCTGTTTTTTTTCACACACATGGTACTTTAGGCATGGATTAACAGTGTTATGTGTCACTGCCAAACAACACCCCAATATGTGTTCAGCAAGATCTCTTGAGTACAGTGATACCACCCATGCATAGGCCTGTCGGGTTCTTTGGGGGCTAAAAGGCCACGTTTGGCAGGTGCGCTTATCAGTTTCCCAACTTGGAATTTTGACATGTAATCAACCTGCGCCCATGTCCCATTTGAGCCAATGTATTTTACCCCCATCAAACCATATATTTTTGAAAAGTAGACAACCCAGAGTATTTTAAATGGTGGTATTTTAACACTTTTCATGCACGGAATTCTACCACCAGCCTTTGTCAAACTTTTGGGTAGTAATCTTTTTTTGTTTCTTTGTTACACACATTGTACTATAGGCATTAATTAACAGATCCTGTTATGTGTCACTGCCAAACAACACCCCAATATGTTCAGCAACATCTCCTGAGTACAGTGATACCCCCCATGTATAGGGTTGCTGGGTTGTTTGGGGGCCAAAAGGCAACAATCAGAACTTGTACATGTCAGTTTTTCAACTTGATATATAGGTATGCTTGGTCTGTCTTCAGTTTGACATATTTTTGCACGCCCCCAGTTAATGTTACTATCATGACAGTATATATAGTATATATTTTTATAAAGTAGACATCAAAGGTTATAGAAGATGGGGTGTTTTGACTTCTTTCCCCCAACCATTTTGCCCCCCCAAAAAACAGAGAAAGTGTAGTGGTAATTTTTTAATACTGTTTTTTATGCACACGTCATCTGGTTTTGGCCAGCTGGTTGTGTGTTACTGCCAGAAAACTTGTTAGACCAAATGTGCAGGTAGCAAATGTACATTTAGCAGCAATCTTTAAACTGGCTCCTGCAAATAGAATCTAACTGGAGATTTTGGGGAAGGAAACTGACTAACAAAAAATGGCTGCTTTCCAAAGAAACAAAAAATTAAATAAAAATTCAGGAACACTTCTTACAACTGTTCTGTGTGGTACAGCTTGAAGCATGTTCCTACACACAGTCCTGGTTTTGAAGGGCAATCACAACAGTGAAAAGGGGTGTCTGTCCTTTTCCCGTTTTTAAAACAGACCCGGCAACGTTTCTGGGGGGGGTTTTCTAGCAGTTGGCGGTGACCTAAAAATAAAATGTCTGTACTCAGCTTGCACCGTTGTTGGAACTTGTCCATCTCCATAAATTGTTAAAGAAGTTATTTTTAACTGAAATTGGAGGTGGTTTTCCCTGGATTATTTAAAAAAAAGAAGCAAAAATGAGTTGTGGGTTTCTATTTGCATCAGATAGATAGCCACCTTTTTATACCATGCTTTGGTTTTTCGTAAAATAAGATATGGCTGCATCAGCTGATCAGCCAAATCAACACCCCCACTTATTATACGCCCTGATGCAAACCGGTTTGGACTCTTCTCTGCCCCGGACAGAGATGTCTGACATGCGTTCGTCATGGATGGTGGTTAGCATGTTGACATCCTTCATGTCCCTAAATTTTAGTGCAAGCACTTCAGCTTTGCGAAGTGCTTTACATTCGCCTTTTTTAATTTTGCCTTTATTAGAGATTGTGGAAAGTCTTTGGAATTTTTTCTGGCAGTGCCGCAGGCCAGTGTCTGTAAACCATAAAGTGTATTAAACAGACCGACACTACTATAAAAATTATCCACACAAAGGTGGTAACCTTTATTAAACAAGGGGTTTAGTAGGACCCATACAAGTTTCCCACTTGTCCCCAGGGAGTCAGGACAGCCAGGAGGGTCCAGTTGACCATCTTTCCCCTCATATACACGAAAGGCAAACGTGTATCCACTTTCGCTCTTGCACAGTTTGTACAGTTTTATGCCATAACTAGAGAGCTTTGAGGGGATGTATTGTCTGAACCCTAATCTCCCTTTGTATTTCATTAGCGATTCATCTATGGATACATTTTGTTGGGGGGTATAAACATCCAAAAATTTGTCCTGAAAATGGTCTAGCAGTGGGTGTATTTTATGAAGCCTATCGTATTGGGGGTGATCTCTAGGGTGACCGAGGGTATTGTCACTGAAATCCAAAAATCTCAGCAGTAACTCGTATCTGGCTCTAGGCATGGTTTGGGAGAATACTGGACTAGACATTATTGGGTTGGTGCTCCAGTATGAGCGAATCAATGGCTTCTTTATAATCCCCATGAGCATTGTAAGAGCCTAGAATTTTTTAAGCTCTGGGACATCTGTGGGATGCCAGCTATGCTCCCTGACTGTATAGCTACCTGGATTGTTATCAATAAATTGGGTAGCATACAAGTTAGTCTGGGAAGCAATCTCCTCCCAGATGGTATCCCCTAAAAATAGTCATGAGTTATTTGTCTATCTCAGAATTAAACTTATCTTACACACTCAAGAAATCTCTACAACTCCAACTACTGTCATGAACAGTTTCAGCTGCTCTTATTAAAAGATAGAGCTTTAAAAACGCTCTCCTGCTACTATAGCCACCTCCTTCAAAGCTAATTTCTTCTTACGTTCCCCTTTATGTTCTTTGGGAGAAGAAGCTCAACTCCACCATCTCCACTCAGATGTGGCATGTGCTAATGGGCTCTGAAACAAATTCATGGTGCTTCTAAATATCTAAACCACCTAGAAGCTCAGTTCAATGTCCTCATGAGAAGGTACATGGTACCAGAGTGATTGGCACATATTTTTCCAGGGTCATCTCATCTGTATTGGCAGTGCGGACAACGGCCAACTGGATGAAATCAGAACCTCTAACGATGGCGGTGATGATTCACAAATTGCAGAAAGCTAAAATCTATGAACACATGTCATCTAGGCATCTCAACAAACTAGCTCTTTATCAAACAATCTTGATGCTTTGGAAATGATTTCTAGCTGTGACAGTCTGACCAAAGAGATTTTTCCCCTCTTCATTCTCTCCCACTTTATCCGCTCACCATACGCTCTGCCCTGTACTTCCTTACTTTTCTGTCTTGCTCTCTATTTTTCTTCTCTTTTCTTCATTGCTCTAAGCTCTGGGTATATAATGTCTGCTATTAATGTTTCATTCTTCACATTCGTTAGAAGTAGTCAGGAAATTCTGCTTTCTTTTGAGCTATGTAGGGTTAATTCCTCCAGCAAACAAATACTTTATATGATTGTCTTAGTGAGGTGGGTGATGCAATTTTATACTTCCATAATTTTTCTTGCTATTCTACTATACATTCTGCTCAAGACTATCAATGCAGCTGTATAGCAAGAAAGATATATACCCTTGTTTGTATTTCTGTATGTCTGTACTGTCTTTACAAAATAATCAATAAAAACAAATTTACATTAAAAAGGGGGTCAAAGAGGTCAGAACTTTCAAAGATGAATCCACTTTGTCGTTAACCTCTGAGGTTCGATCTCGAGATGTCATTAACGATAATAGTTACGCCAGATTTAAAATTGGTAATAATTTCTAACTGCAGTAGCATTTCCAACAGAAAAATGAGAATTATTTTGATTGTGACTGTGCTAAAAACAGTGGAACCTTCAGAAAATGTTGTCAGTTGGATGCCGACAATAGAGTATGAGTAATATCTGTATGACTTTCACACCAGTAATTAACTATTTGTGATCTGCTTGAAGTTGTTCTATTATTTCCTCTTTCATTTTTAGTTATTGCGTACTTAAATACGCCCATACATTAACAATTTACATATTTATTAAACATATTAATACTTGTAAATAATTACTGCTGGAATTATCTATAACTTCACTTCTACATAAATTTAAAAAAAATATTTAATACTCTTGTCTAAATGCCATCCTGACATACTCTGTGCTAAAACTAGAAAATGTTCGAGACAAATATTTTTCAGACAAAGGAAAATATTTTTTTTTACTTTTTAACCCCTTAAGGACACATGACGTGTGACATGTCATGATTCCCTTTTATTCCAGAAGTTTGATCCTTAAAGGGGTTAAACTCATCCTTTCGAT